GCACACAGAGTGGTATTAATATAATGGACAATGGAGCCATAAAAGGGGGGAGGGAGAGGGTGTGAGGTGAAAATTATCTATGGGGTGCAACGTACACTACTTGGGTGATGGCTACGCCCAAAGCCCAGACTCCACCACTATATAATATATACATGTAATGAAATTCAATTTGTATTCCCTAAATTTTTTAAATACAAAAGTAATAGAAATAGAGTGGGCTTATCTATATTTTCATGTATTTCTTTTATGGTTATTACTTAGTAAAAAGAAAATCAACCAACATCCCAAAAGACATCATTTATTAAACAAACTGCTCTTCACAATTCCCATAATAGAAAACATTCTTGAACTAAGAAACCAAGTACAGTACTCCTCCTTTAGTCAGGATTTCATTTTCCATGGTTACAGTTATCCACGATAAACGATGGTCTGAAAATATTAAGTGAAAAATTCTAGAAGTAAATAATTCATAAGATTTAAATTGTGTGCCATTCTGAGTAGTGTGATGAATCTTGCATTTTCTCACAGGATGTGAATCATCCCTTTATCCTGTGTATCTAAACATATATGCTACCCATCCATTAGTAGTTGTTTGTGTTATCAAGTTGACTCTTGAGGTATCCCAGTGCTTGTGTTCAAGGTCAATAGTAGCCTATAACATTCACCTCAACTCATTATAAAGGCATTTTATCATCTCACATCATCACAAAAAAAAGGGTAAGTACAGCAAAATAACATTTTGAAAGAGAGACCACATTCACATGTTTTATTACAGTACCTTGTCATAATTGTTCTATTTTATTATTATTGTTAATCTCTCACTGTGCTTGACTTATAAATTAAACTTTATCATAGGTATGTATGTATAGGAAAAAACATAGTATATATGGAGGCCAATACAATCCATGATTTCAGGCATCACCGAAGGTCTTGGAACATATTCCCCGTGGACAAGGGGGAACAACTGTATGCTCCTATCTTTCCCTTCTTGTCTCCCTCATGCACTTCTTTTCTCTCTCATGGACTTCCTGTAGCCCTCGTGCATTTCCTGACTCCTTGCTACTTCCTCTTTCCCTAATGCACTTCCTGTTCCCCCCTTCTACTTTCTGTCTTCCTCTTGCATTTCCTATGTCCCTCCTATGCTTTCCATTGAGGACCCCTTACCAGCTGCTTCTCCCTCCAACTCTAAGCGCCATCTGTCCTCAGGCTAGGCCCTAGGATTGTTGCCACCCACAGTCCCTCCCCTAAGCACTCCCTTTCCTGGCTCTAATCCATACTCACCTTCTCAGTGTCCTCCTTCTTCACCTGCTTGAGGTGGGCCCGCAGGTCCATGGACTCCTTGGCCCGGGCTCCCAGCAGTGCCTGCATCATGGCATCTGCAGAGATCCGCACCCTCCGCAGGGTGGGCCGTTTAAACTTGCCCCGAAGGTCAAAGATCTTCTGGGTCAGATCTGCGATCTGAGGGTGGCCATATGAGGAGGTGGAGACCCCTCCCTCCGTGTCCCCTGGCCCCACTCTTCCATCCCTACATTCCTGTCCTACCCCTATCCTGTCTTCCAGTACCTAGGCCTCATCCAGTCTCTTCCAAGCTCAGGATTCCAGTCCAAGCTTCTAATCCTGGAACTTGCAGCCCTCCCTGAAGTGCCCTAGCCTCATCTTTCAAAACCACTGACACATCCTGTCCAGCCACATGCAAATCACAATTCCCTGGCCCATGCCTGAGCTCATTTACCACAAACATATTTTATGTTTTCCCACTTCTGGTTTTGCATGTACTGTTCTCTCTGCCTGGAATAGCCTTGCCCGGCCATATTGTACTCATCCTTCGGCCCTACCCCTGCCAGGCTCACGGTTGTCCTGGGTCTCCTGAGATCTGCAACCAAAAGCTGCAAGGGGTCAGGCTGAGACCAGAGTCGCAGACATGTCACCCTACCCTGAAGGCACCCATACTGCTCAGTGCTTCCCACCTCTGTGATGTTCTTGGTAACTTTTGCCTCCACATCGTATCTCTCTTCGTCCACCTTGTCCACACGGGCATGGAGCTGTCGGCACAAGTCCTGGTGGAGGAACATAGTGTGTGCTGTGGGAGGAAGGCTGGAGACCTGGACTCCTGTGTCTGAGTTAGAAGGGGACCCGGAAGCCGGGACTCCTGGGCCTGGGGGAGGAAGAAGCTGAACTTCTAGATATTCTGAGGGAGGAAGGGCAGGGTGCCCGAGAATATAGTCATGAATGAGGAGTAGATTGGAGGAGCCCAGACTCCAGAGGAATGCAAACAAAGGGTGACAGGGGCCAGGAGTCCCAAGAACCTGACAGAGTTGGGGCCGGAGGGACTGACCTCTGGGTTTTGAGATGGTAGCTGGCTGCAGGCTGGATATCTCAATTTCTGAGGGTAAAGATTGTGATACTGGACCCTTGGGTCCTGAGAAGAAGGGGGCTAGTGACTGCATTCCTGAATCCCAAGGAATGCAAAATGGAGACTAGAAACCTAGGATCCCAGGCTGGGCAGGAGTCCCTTGGGAGCCGGTACCTGCAGCTCCGCGAAGCCCAGCCCAGCCAACTCTAGCGGCTGGCAACGGGTGCTCAGAGCGCGCCCCTTCTCTCCGCGACGCTCCTCCGCCTCTCGCTCCAGCTCCTGCTTTGCAATCTGCAGCATCAGGGTCTGCGGAGGGGTGTGGGGACCGCAGCCCACCGGGGTAACAGGATAAAGACCACGCCTGGCGAAGCCGCCTTTGCCCTGCATGGCCCTCTAACCACGGGTCTCGTCGTCTGTCCTCCAGAGACCGGCCCCTTGAGTTTGGTCCCCAACATCCCAAAGCCCCGCCGGTCCCTCTGCACCGCTGCCGACGTAAAGCCCTGCCCCTGACAACCAAGCCCCGCCCACTCCCACCCATCCATCTACCCGAAGCCCCACCCCAAATTCCAAGCCCCGCCCCCAAGCACCTCCGTTCCTTCTCCCGGCTCATCCTTACCTTCAGCTGCAGTTTTCTCGAGGCAGAGATCTTAGACTTTTTCTACCAGGGTGAGATGGAGCAAGAAAGCATCAAGGAGGGGGCCCGAAGGCAAGACGGGGAAAGGGGCTTGAGGACCCCCCACCCCCAGCACGTCCAGATTTGGGCCCGCCTCCAACTTGATCCCCGAGTCTACGGGAAGCCACGCCTTTCAGTCCTATCCACCAATCTGGGGCTCTGACTTTGGCTAGGCACCGGCCACTTTCCCCCAAGCCAGCCCACGGGCGATGGAGCTCCGCCCACAGGCAGCTCTCACCAATCCGAGTCCTACCCTCTACGAAACCCCGCCTCTGAATTCCCACATCCGCGTAGGCTCCGCCCATGGCCAAGGTCCCGCCCCCATCTGAGGCCCTGGCTCCTCCCCTCGTTCCCTAGGAGTCGGGTCACACCCCTAAACCTGAGCCCAGGCGGCCCCCGGGGCCCTGCCCCACCTTGGCGTGCGGCTCCGTGGCGTAGGCCCGGTAGTTGGCGGAGGAGCGGCGTCTGATCGGCGCGGGCGCGGGCGCGGGCGCCGGGGGCAGCTCGCCCGCCTGGGTCGGAGGAGCAGGGCCGCGTCACCACCGACATCCCATCAGCCCTGCCCCGTCCCGTACCCGCTTCTAGGGCTGCAGCCTCCCGCCCCAGACCCTCCCTGCCTCGCCCACCCTGGTGGGGGTCCCAGCCCACGCCTTAGCCCGCTGCTCTTACCACGTCGCCGTTCCTGGAGGGAGAGAAAACGGGGAGAGGGGATTAATAGTGGGCTGAGTCCTGTCCGCCCCTAAGGCAGAGGCCCCTCTGACCAAGAGGTCGGGGCCACCAGCTCCCCCTCCTCAGGTCCCAGAAGTCTGACTCCCAAGGTCTCACCTGATCTGCACACCCAGGAGTCCTACCCTCACCTCCCTTCCCAGGCCAGCGGTCCATCTCGCAGCTATTGTCCCCCCAGGAACCCGGGAGATCGCCCGGCTCCCACTCCCGTGAGGCCTCAGGGATGCAGAGCTCCACTCACTCATCCGCCATGCCGGGGCCCAGGCCGGGGATCGCTGGAGGCACAGAAGGGGACAGGGGCTTTTGGAGGGTCAGTGAGGGGGCGTCCGGAGTGACCTTGAAGGTCCCCCGGGCGTTCAGTCTCCTCCCAGCTGCTCAAGCCTCACTGAGGACACTGAGATAAAGCGCGAGGACAGAGACTAAATATACTGCTGCCCCCTCCTCCCCTACCCAGGATGCGAGATAACGGGGCGCGTGAGGGGTGGAGCCGGCCCGGCTCCAGCTGGATGACCCCACCGCCTTGATGACCTGGGATTCTGGACCCTTCTTCCCTCAGGCCCAGAAAAATTCTGGGCCCCCAGCCCCTCTTCCCTCAGACCCAGGACTCCAGGCCCCCAGGGCGCCCCTCCCTCAGGCCCAGGAATCCAGACCGCTAGTCCTTCACTAAATTGCAGTCGCCACTAGGGCCGGAACTTTGTCTTAGGGTCAGTTTCAGTGCCCTAGACCTGTTAGCCACTCAGTAAATTTTGTTGATTAATTTGAGGATCCACGTGGGTGGGGAGGGGGCAGGTTCTCAGCCTACAGCACTGAGAAATCCATCCCTAGTCTACTTGGAAACCCGGTTATCTGGTTTCTGCTCTCCTCTCTCGACCACTGGGCCCTCCCCTCTCCTTGTCGTGGAGACAGACGTAGGACAGGAAAGACACTCGGACACAGAGGAGAGGACCCCGCTCTCTTTACTTGAACCACTTGGATGCTGACCAGGCCCTGGCGAGGAGACGTTCCCAACCCCGGGTTAGCAATGGGATGCCTGGAGACAAGGGGCGGAAGCAGAGGGCCTGGGACGCAATGTCAGCTCTCTACAAGGGGTTTAGAGTCTCACGAGTGCAATTTCTGAGAAAGCAATCTAGAATTCTAGGAATAGAACTTAGAATCCCTAAAATGGAATTTGAAATTCTGGCAACACCTCTGGGGCTGAATGAGAGTGTTGAAGAGTAAAATGGAGAATTTCAGCAGCGGATTCAGAATTATATGAGTGGATTCTAATTCTCTGGCCAGATTTTGAAGTTAGAGATGAGGGACTTAGTCTCCGGGGGTCAGGTCACACTCTGGGGTTTTGGAGTCTGACTCACTGTTGGGCAAGGCCAAAGCTTCCTGGGACGGAGCCAGAACCTCCCCGAGTGAACACTGAGATTCTGAGGGCAGCTGGAGGGGCGCAGAGGGTGGGGCCGGGCTTTCTAGAGGCTGGGTCAGGTCCCCATGGGGCGGGCTCATTGCTTCAAGAGACGGAGCCAGAACTTCAGGGGGCGGAGCTCCGGAATCCAAGGCTGGGCCAGTGCTGCGCAGAGCAGGGTCCCCGGACTTGCAGAACCGGGCGAAGGTCTCTGAAGGCCTGGCCCCTGTCTGCGGGGCGAATCCAGCAGCCTGAGCTAGCTCCCCGACCCGGGCGGAGAACCTCTGGAGCTGCTCCGGACGCAAGTCCACCAGGTACCTAAAGACAGGAAGCGGCATGTTAGGGACCCAGATTTTAGCACCCGGCCAGGACATTCCCTGCCCTGTGCCCTGCTGGCTCACCGAGCTAATTCCACAATCAGATTCCCTCCGGGGGCCGCGCAGGCCCCAAGCTCAGGGCTGAGAAGATGGACCATCCTGCACAGAGGAAAGGAGGGAGGCTGAGATTAAGGCTCCCAGGTTCTGGGAGAGGATGGGGGCTGGGGACCCAGAAGCTGAGTCAGGAGGAGCCTGTGAAACTGGACCTCTGGGGTCCTGGGGAAGGAAGGGGCAGAAGGTCTGGACTCCTGGGTCAGATGGAGGAGGGGCGAGGGGCCTGGTCCTGAGTCTCTGTGAACACAGCTGTGTCTCCTCTTACCCACAAGCCACGTAGAGAAGCTGGAACCGGTTCTTGTAGCAGCTCTTGTGGTGTAGTGCCTGGGCAGAATCGAGGGGCAGGAAGTGGATAGTGAAGGATTCCTGGGCAGGGGCTCCTGGGGAAGGGCAGAGAGGGGTCACCTCCGGAAGGTGGAGCCATAAGGCACAGAAACCCGGAGAGATACACAGAGAGACAGCAGCGCTGGGCAGACACTCAAAGCTTGGAGATAACACTCCTTGTCCTCCTGAAGCCCTGTTTCGTCTTTTCTCTGAGGTGCGTTCCTGGAAAATTCTAAGAAGGTCAGCCCAGCAGGCAGAGACCCATTTTACAGACCAGCCAACTGAGACTCTAGAGAGAGAAAGAGAGTGGGTGGCCCGGGGACACACAGACATCCCCTGTAGGACAGACACCCAGGGCCAGGTTGGGGGATGGTTAGAAGGAGGCACAGCTAGAATCTGGGGTGGGGGGAAGGTGTCCGAAGGGGAGCTGGAACCCAGCACCCTGTTAGAATAGTTTTGGTCAGCTTAGACCTCTGTGGGTAGGATTAGAATTCAGAACCCTAAGAATGGTGCCAGGATTTCGGAAAGGGAGAGAAACAAAAAGAGGAGAAAAAGAGACGGAACATCAAGGAGAGGTCACCTTCCCAGGCATTGCAAACCACGTCCGTCCACGCGCGGACATGAATACCTGGAGCCTGAAGTCTCTGGCTCACCTGAAGCCTTGGCTCACCTGAAGTCTCTGGCTCCGCGGTTCCAGACGCGCGCTGCTGCTTCTCCTCCGGGTCCCCCTGGGCGGCTCTCGGGCGCCCCCAGGCGGCCACCTCCCGGAACAGCTCTGTCACATTGTGTTGTGTGATCTCGCCCGCAGTCTGAGGGGCAGAGAGGGGGCGTGGCCAGACCTTGGGGCCAGGACCGCGGGGGCGGGGCCAGGATGCTGGGGCGGGGCTGAGAGCACAGGGTGTGAGCTGGCATCCTCGACTAGAGCCCCCGGCGCTCTCGGATTCCCGGGGCTGGGTTTAAGACGTAGAATGGGGGTGGGACGTAGGCTGTGGGGTTGGTGCCCAGGGCGCCGCGGGCAAGGCCTGTTACTTGGAGGTACAGCCCCAAAGCGAGGGGCGGGGCCTGGAGGCGGGGCTGGGGCTGGGCGGGGTTGCACAAGGCCCTTCCCTCGGCCTTCTAGGCCCTTCCCTCGGCCTTCTAGGCCCTTCCCTCGGCCTTCTAGGCCCTTGGCACACCTTGACTGGCTGTCCGTTGCTGGTCCGCAGGAGGCTTTTGTCGTCGGCTTCGATGCCGAAGGCCACAAAGGGCCCCGTGGCGATGTCCCCCCAGTACCCGCGTGCTGCCACGCGCTCCCCGCGCTAGGAAAGCAGGCAGAGAGGAGGCAAGTGAGGTCGGTGTTAAGGTCCCGGAGGAGAAGGAGCGGGCCAGGGCAGGGAGTGGACACGCACGTGGCTCAGAAGGCGACCGGATGCCAGGGTCCGGTTGGGCACGTGGTAGGCGCTGGAATCTCTGAGTTCAAAGGCGACACCTGTGTCCCGCCAGCGTCGGAACTCGTGGGTGTGGATGACTTGGGCCTGGGGTATAGGGAGGGAAGACGGGAGGCCTCAACGAACCTGGCACGTGGGCCCCCAGCCCCCTCCTCCCTCTGACCTACGACAACGCCCCCCCAGTCCCTCCTTCCTCAGACCCAGGACTTGGACCCCCAGCCCCCTCCTCCCGGGCCCCTCACCCCGCGGTCGTGCAGCTTCATGCGCAGGTCCCAGTCGCTGACACCGTGCCGAGCGTCATAGCGGGAGCCCAGGTAGTGGCGAAGCCGCAAGTCCCAGAGGCGGCTCATGGGGAAGGCCTCGGGCCCCTTCTCCCCGCCGGCCCAGAAGCGGAACACCGCCTCCAGGGCGTCCCGCTCGCGAAACTGCGCGGTCAGGGACGCGAGGCGAGAGAGCGAGGGAGAGAGGGATGCAGGGAGAGCGGTGTCTCTTGCTTGACCCTCCCTGCCATCCCAGGAGGTGGGGACAATTCTCCCGTTTCTCCTCCGATGAAGAAAGCAAGGCTCAGAGAACAAACAGAAGCCACCCCCTACCCCTAGGCCAAATCCCACCGTGGGAGTCAGGGAGCTGGGATTCGAACGCGGAGCACCCAGCCTGCTCCATCAACGCGAATGCTTTGGACGGCCCGTTTCCATTCTTCCCGCATCCCAGGCCGTGAGGGGACAGAAGCCGGGTGGCATACCTTGAGGGCGCCGAGGCTGAGCCAGGGCAGCTGCTCCGCCATGCGGTCGGGCTCCGGGACCAGGTGCGCCAGGAGGTCAGCCTGGGCGCGCACAAAGGCGGCCACCGCCGGGCGCAGCAGCGCGTTCCCCCACACCTCCATGAAGGTCTCGCTCCTCTCTGCGGGGCGGGGGAAGCAAGATGTGCCGAGGAGTGAGCCCAGATATCAGATCCTTAATATTTTGTTATTATTCCTTAGTCATATAATGAAAATAGTGAACCCTGGCAAACTAGCCACCCATTCCGAAAACCTAGGTTAGGTGAAGAATAAGTCACGCCTAACCTAGGTCTCCTCGTCTGCTCCCCCGCACCCGCCCAGGCAACCCCAATCCTGAATTTCATGTTTAAATTTCCCTTGGCTTTAAAAAAGGAAAAGGTGATACATAGATATAGGTGTACATGAGATATATTTGTGTTGAGCGTTATAGTGTTAAATTGTTTCATTTTAGTTGTTTAAGAATTTTATAAGGGGGAATTACAGACGCAACTCCTACATCCACCGCAAATACTCAGGGGGAAAAAAACAGTAAAAATTATACAAATAAAAAACATACAATATAATTATTTACATAATACTTACATTGTATTAGGAATCACAAGTAATCTAGAGATGATATAAAGCATATGGAAGGATATGTATAGGTTATATACAAATACCATGCCATTTTATACGGGATTTGAGCATCCCTTATAAAATGGATTTTGGTGTCCACAGTGGTCCTGGGCCCAATCCTCAGTAGATACTGAGGGATGTCTGTATATATTAATACCTTTAATTGTATATCACTCACACACACACACACACACACACACACACACACACACTTAGACATCTACATATACCTATATATAAATTCTTTCATTTCAGTTGTTTAAAATCTTATAGAAGAAACTACATGGCCTTTAGTTAGATAGATTAGTTTAGTTCTAGTTAAACAAGGTGTATTGTACAATGTACTCTGAATGCCCTGGGCTATAAATGACAATGGCCATCTATGATCATGGTAAAGATAATAATCACCCATATCATAAGCCAGGTGCTATTCACTTTTCAGTGAATCCTCACAAGAATCCTATTGATGGAGGAACTTTTAGGATCCCTATTTTATAAATGTGGAAATGAGGCCCAGAAAGGTATAGATTCTGGCCCAAGGCCACAGAGCAAACAGAGCCAGAATGTGAACACCACCTGTCTCAGGCCGGAGACTTTGCTCTAGGCACTAAGCGGAAGTTGTTGTTACAGGGAAATAATCACTTTCTGCCTTCCCAGATCTAGGGGACTTGCTACCTCTTGGGAAGTCTTCTGATCTCTTTTGGCCTTCTCTTATGGTAGGACGTTTTGAAGGCTTGCGCTGTGTCATGGTCTGTTCTGAGAGTTTCATGTAGGTTTTCTCCTAGAATTCTCTAAGTGGCTCTAGGAGGTGCCATATTTAGCCCCATTTTACAGGTGAGAAAAGCTGAGGTCTAAGGTCTCAAATGATGTAATAGGGGACAATGATCAATTTTTTTAATTGTACCATTGAAATGCCAAATTCTCTGTAGCGCAGGGGAGGGGACTTGGGGTCAAAATGCCTAGGTCCTAGCAACTCACCTTGCAGCCCCATCTTCTCAGGCTCCTCCAGGGCTAGGCTGAAGATCAGCATGTGTCTGGCCACAGCTTCCAGATTATTCTCCAGCACATAGAACTGGAAGGATGGACAGAGCAGAACGATTCTGAGAACTGCTTCCCTGGCCCCTAGGAGACCCAGGAGAACCGCCCCTCAGCCCCCTCGTTCCACTAACCCGGGAGTTCTGTACTCTAGCTCCCTCCTTCAAACACAGGAGTCTGGATCCCCAGAACCCTCCCGCCCACCATTACTCAGGAGACCTGGTCCTTAGGCTCTTTCTCCCTCTGAAACTCAAGACGCATGGCTCCAGCCTTCCAGCTTCCACCTCCCTCAGACCCAGCAATCTCCAGTCCCTCCCTCCCGGACCCAGGATTTTAGAATTCCAGTCCCCTCCTTCCTCAAGATCTCGGGATCTGGGTGCTCATCTTCACCGTCTTCCTTTCACGACCCCAGTATCTTAGCTCACGTTGAACCTCCTGCGAGGCCAGAGTGCGGCCCTGGCCAGGGTCCTCAGCAGGTGACGCCCATCCACAGAGCCCAGCAGCAGCACATCTAGCTCGGGGGTCCTGTGCTCCGTATCTGCCTTTGCTTCTGGGTCCACAGGAGGACCTGGCAAGATGAGAGCAGGCTGGGGCTGGTGGCCGACATGGAGTCCCCAGTAGCGGCCCCCTAAAACATGGACTACACATCCCAGCAGGCCTCGCGCCCCTGGCCTAGGTTCCAAAGGGAGCTGGGCCTCCAAGCATTCTGGGATTTGCAGTCCGCAGATAGGACACCGGGACCGCCCACCCGGGAGCGCCCTCCGCCGTTGAAGCCTCGAGAACGTTGGCGCCGCTCCCTGCCAAGGAGTCCTGAAAGGCCGTCTACGCGGGCTGTGAAGGCAGCCGACGTATCAGACCGTGCATGGTGGGACTCACTTTCAGCCTGCAGGTCCAGCGCTGGTGACAGGCCCCACCAGGACACGGAGCCGAAGCCCGTGCCGGAGCCCGCGGGTGTGGTCATCGCCCTGCGGGAAGGACATCCTGCGAATCCCACACGTTGTCTACCCCACTCCCTTCTCACTGCCCCTCACTTCTTTCTCTTCTGCTTCCACAGGACGGCCCCCTCACCTTTACCCTTCGAAATATCCCAGGACGCCCCCCTCTCTCCTTGCTCCGTGCTGCGCTGCTGTCCCGAGCCCCTCCACAACCGCTGCCCAGAGCCCTCGCCCTGTCGCTCATTCGGCCAATGGGAGCGTGAGGGCTTGCCCCGCCACGATCAATTGACCAATGGGAGTGGGCGGGGCCCGCCCTCTACGAACTTTTGGCCAATGGGAGCGCTGAGGGCCGGCTCTCCGCACTCGCGGGAGAGAAGGATGTGTGGACGCGGTTGTCATGACGACGGCGGTGGCAGAAAAGGGGCGGAGCTGGAAGAGACTGGGGTGGAGTCTGGGTCGGTCTAAATTTCTGGGAAAGGGGAGTCCTGGGCTGATTGAAATTTAGAAAGAAAGGAACAGAATCTTGATGAATTAGATTAAAGTGAGGTGGCCTAGACTTTAGACTCTGAGTCACCTTTTCCTCCCTCACACCCTGTGCTCTACCACACACACCTTCCCACCAGGTGGTTAACAGTGCGGTGCTTGGCCAGCTGGCACTGGCTCCCGGTCGCTAAATTTTTAGGGATTTTTTTTTTTTTTTTTTTTGAGACAGAGTCTCACTATGTTGCCTTAGCTAAAGTGAGTGCCGTGGCGTCAGCCTAGCTCACAGCAACCTCACACTCCTGGGCTCAAGCGATCCTCCTGCCTCAGCCTCCCGAGTAGCGGGGACTACAGGCATGCGCCACCATGCCCGGCTAATTTTTTTTTCTATATATTTTTAGTTGTCCGATTAATTTCTTTCTATTTTTAGTAGAGACGGGGTCTCGCTCTTGCTCAGGCTGGTTTCGAACTCCTGAGCTCAAACAATCCGCCCGCCTCCGGCTCCCAGAGTACTAGGATTACAGGCGTGAGCCACCGCGCCCGGCCTTTAGGGATTTTTTGAGCTTATTATTGCACACAGTCATTATGAGAAATTGAATTCTGTAATCTTACAATTAAATACATTACATTAAAATAAGAGTAAAACACACTCATCCCTTCCTATTTTACTGTCTTTTACTATTATCTATGTCCTTGAGTCATTTACATCTATTGTATCTGTATGGAGGAAATACTATTTTATTGCAATATTTTAAAAAATCAAACTGGTAAATTACAGCCGCTGGCTGGCCATTTGCGTAAATAAAGTTTTATTAGATCCAGGGCCATGACTATGGTCAGGCAGAGTCATGCAAGTGCAGCATTTGATCCTGTGTTTAAAATTTCTATATTTCCTTCACCATGGATATTTTTGGCATAGATTTTGATTTTTTAAAATATTGCATTAAAGTTCTAAGTATCTTTATTACTGAAGGGTTTTGGAGGGCTTTGTCTTAAATGTTGGGACCTTCACCCAGGCCCCAGGAAGTATTATATGATGGTGTGTTAGTAGACATCTCTTCTCAACTGCATATCAAGTGACTGCACATTGGTGGCTTGAAATCAGCTGTGTGGGAGTGTTTTCACCCCAGTGGAAATGAGCAAACCACCCACCAGGGCTCCAGAAAGTTGGTAACAGCACGCCAAGCCCCTTCTTGCCTCCAGGTCTATATTCTTTCCATTTTTCTGTCCCTTTAAAATCCTCCCCTGCCCTCCCCTGGAAGAATTCTGCTCATCCTTTCAACTCCAGCAAGGACTCTTCCTCTGAGCTCTGCCTCTGCCATCCCAGCAGAATGGCCACAGCAGTCTGCCCCGTGGCCTGAGAGTGTGACCTTTGGTGTCAGACACACCCAGGTTTACATCTTGCTTCTGCCACTTGCTGGCTGAGTGGCTTCAGCCAGGCAACTTAATTTGGCTGAGCATCTCAGGAGCTAACAATACCTACCTCATAGGATTGAGTGAAGAAAAAAAGGAATCGATGTTCATAAAGCAATTAGCTCAGGGCCTGGCACATAGCAGCATTGAGCGGGTTGCAGTTGCTGTCATCATCAGTTTAACTGGGGTCCCAAGGCCCAGCCTGAGTTGCAAGGGCAGGGCAAGGGCAGGGTCTGAGTGAGACACATCCTGGGATCATCCCAGCACCCAGCACAGGGTGCAGCACACAAGGGGCCTTGGCTCTCTGCCTCCTCTCCTTGCCCAGCTACATGACACACAAGCCACTGACCTTTTCTGAGCCTCAGTTTCCTGCTCTGTGAAATGGAATGGTAACATGCAGCTGGCAGAGGTGCAGCAGATTGAAAGGAGATCTGTCTGCATCCTGAGGACAGGTCTGGGCAATGGGAAGACAGTGCCCATGGGAAATGAAGGCTGAGATCTCAGCAGTCCCTGCAGAATCGGACTCGCCAACCTTGGCCCCTCCGAAGCCGGCTTAGCCCACCAGAGCCCCAGAGCCTGGCTTTCTCTAGGGAGGCTTATGCCCTTGTCCCTATTACCACCGCTCCCCCAACACATTCTCCATGAAGGAGCCAGAGTGATCTTAAACATAAATCAGATCATGCCACTCACCTCTTAAAACCCTCTGGAGGCTTCCTCCTGTGCTTAGACACACTCCCAGCTCCTTAGCCTGGTCCTAGGCCCTGCATCACCTGCGCTTGGCTGTGTCTCTTCCGTCATCCCCACCACACGTCCCCCTCATGCTCCCCTCCAGCCACACTGGCCTCCTGGTTCTTTTGAGAACACACAAGCCTGTTCCAGCCCCAGGGCCTTTTCTCCTGGTTCTTTTGAGAACACACAAGCCTGTTCCAGCCCCAGGGCCTTTTCTCCTGGTTCTTTTGAGAACACACAAGCCTGTTCCCCAGGGCCTTTTTTTTTTTTTTTTTTT